AAACAAATAAATTGATGTACTTATTTGGAAATGCGCGCATGTTACTTTGTAACACAAATTGAATGTCCACCATGCTCAACACTGGAGGTTTGTGTAAAAATAAATGAAAGCATCATACCAATAACATAATGGAAATTTGTTTCATCCAAGATGTTACACAGAACCTGATTTCCTTGAAATTACACTAGCATATAGTTTTCACCTCTATAAATTGGAGATCCAATTGAGATCAAAAACATTCACTGTAACTTATGTTTTGTTGTTATGTTGATCATTTCTTAATGATCTGCAAACAATTTCCATTATGCTTACACCAATAGCATAATGGACATTCGTTTTACCACTTTGTGTCAAAATTGATCATCAATCTTTTTATATTGTGAAACAGGCTATTTCAATTGAAGTTAGAATAGAAAATAATCTTGTGACTGCGCACAAAAACCATTTTATGAAACATGCATCCTTTTTTTACATTAATATATATTTCAACTTTTCTTTACATTCTGGCAAAACCTGATCAAGTAAATCAAGTGGATTTCAATAGGTTGTATTAGAAATGAAAGTTTAAAGTTTCTGTGATCTATTTAGACCTGTCAACTTGGCAATTTTTTATTTTTTTACTTTTTTATAGATTATTTTTATTATTATTATTATTATTCACAAATGGTCTAAATTTATTAGAAGCAAATATTTAAGGCCTCCATCATCATTTCTTTTTTAATATTTTATCTTTTCTAGTCTATTTATTATTATTTAGGATTTTACATTCAAGACAACACCCTTTTATATTCCAAGAATTTATAATGATAAGCATGACATTTAATTTCAGTCATTCATTAAATCTTTTTAAATAGTTAACAACAACAACAACAGTAATAATGGTGGATTATTGATGAGAGATGGAGAGAAAGGCTATCCATGATAATGGAAGATAAACTCTCACTTGTAAATATTATTATTTCTTTCTTTGTATTGTGATCAAGTTTTTATTATATAAACTTGATATACTAAATTCTTGGATAATATTTTATTTATTAACAAAAGTTATTTAAACACACATGCATATGTATATCTTTGGAAGAACAATGTACTAGCAGGAGGTTTGATGATATTTAATTATTAATTACAATGGTCATATATATATATATATTTTATATATATTTATATATTTTATATATGGGGGGTTTTCTAGCAAAAGGTACCTCTGACCAAAATTGAGATTTTGCATAATATATATTTATATCATAAGGATTATAACTGGTGAAAAATCAGGTCATGTTTGTTTAGTAAAAAAATGAGTGATTAGGCAATAAAGAATTTTTTAAATTAATTTGCACAAAATCTTGAGTTGATCTACACTCCCCTACAAAAAATTTCCAGATACAAGCGTTGTGTAACATAAAACGAAAAAAGTGTTAACTAAATAAAGTATTTTTTTAAAATGAAACTGCCTTAGTGGCATTAAGTAGACTTGTTCCCAATATCATATAGTTATAATAAAAATAAATTTCAAAAAAATAAGCCTAAAGTTGGCCACATAATTTAATTTTCCGTGAAAAGTGAAGAAATTTTAATCATTTTTTTTTGGTAATAAGGTGATGTTAAATTTTTATGTTGTAACATTCATTGCACTCTTAGTAAAACTTGTTTTTGACGTTATACTGCATATGTATGTACAATTTTTTATGATAAACCTGTCTACAAACAAGCATAGGTAGTTATCCAGACATCATAAGTTTTTTAGTTAAATAATAATTTTTATTGCATGATTTTTTTTAAATGGCACAACTATTTAAACCTATTTCTTAACAATTTTTTTTTTTTTGTTTTAGGTCCATAATCTAAACTATTTAAAATATAATTCAAAGTATGTCAAAGTCAAAAGATACTTCTGATTTTGAGCATGGAAGAATTGTTGGTTTATGGGAAGCAGGAAAAAGGTTTAGAGAAATAGCAGACATAACTGGACACCTGAAATCAACAGCACATGATATAGTATCTCAATACAGAGAAGAAGGTCAAGAAACTGCAAAATCAAGGCCAGGCAGAGAACACATTCTATCAGATTGTAATACTAGATACCTTGTTAAGACTTTAAAAGAAGATCAGAAGCAATCCCTTGAAGAAGTGACAGAAAAATTCAATGAATCACTTAGTTTATCTGTAAGTTCTTCAACTGTGCGTAATTATCTTCATGAAATGGGATATTATGGTTGTGTAGGTAAAAGAAAACCACTAGTAAGTGAAAAAAATCATGTATATAAAACATTTGGCATGGTGCCGTGAAAGAAAAAATTGGTTAGATGAATGGAATTCAATAATCTGGAGTGATGAATCAAGGTTCAAAATATTTCAGAATGACTCTCATCATTGGGTTTGGCGTAGGCCTGAAGAAGGTTATGATGTTGATTGTTTAATTCCAACAGTTAAATCAGGTAGAAAAGGAGTTATGATGTGGGGGTGCTTCATTCACAATAGACTTGGTCCGTTAGTTGAAGTAAATGGCAAAGTCAATGGGCAGAAGTATAGAGAAATATTTCATAATAATCTTCTACCATTTTTAAATGAATTGGAGGATGAGTCAACATATTGCTTTCAAGATGATAATGCACCGTCTCACAGAGCAACAGAAACAATTCAATGGAAGGAAGATAATCTAATATCATTTATTCCTTGGCCTGCACAAAGCCCTGATTTGAATCCCATTGAGCATTTATGGGATGTTTTAGAAAGAAAACTTAGAGCAAGAAAACCATTGCCTAAAAATAAAATAGAATTAATTGATGTATTAAATGAAGAATGGCTTCATATTGAACCAAGAGTTATAGAAAATTTGGTACTAAGTATGCCAAGAAGAGTTAATGCCATTATTGAAAGTCATGGAAACCCTACACTGTATTAATTTTTTAGAATCTTTTTATGTATTTCACTTTATTATATAAATTATTTTATTATTTAATAAATGCTAATCAAAGATGCTTTGCTATTTTTTTCCTGTTTTATTGCATAATTTTTTAAGTGTTAAGCAGAACACCCTGAATTTTTACATTTAAATATTTTGACTCTTTCTGAAAAAAACTTTCATTAATTATATAAATTTGTTTTAGACTTGTTTTTAATTTTTGGGTGGGTAGAATTTCTCCGTTGAAATTTGGAAATTTTTAATAATTTTCAAATCATTCTGTAAAATTCAATTTTCATCCAAAATTTACAAAAAGTGTTATAAATATATAATTTGATATTTCAAACAAGCTTACTTATTTACATAAATTATCATTATATAGTAAAAAGTTATTTTATTTTATTTTTCGTTTACCATATATTTTGATGATCTGCAAGTGTCTGGAAATTTTTTGTAGGGGAGTGTACAATTACTCATATTCATATTTCTATATTTATATTTCAAGAACTTGTTCAGCTGATGTAAATATTTACTTTAAATTATTAATTATTATTTGTAATGATCAGTTGACCCAAATATTTATTTTATATTAATAAGCATAGTTTATTGGACAAACTAGAGTAAAAGTCATGTTATTTGTAATACCCCAAGAGGTATAAAAAGACTTGGTTTTAGACCAAGTCAGAATCATGTTCATAACAATCTTTTAATTATTGATCTAATAAATTAATACACTGTAATAATATTATTATTATCGCTAATAAAACACAACATATTTTACCTTAAAATAATAATCTCTAATTAATCAAAGGGGAAACCTTTGCTGCACCAAGCAAGTAACCAACATTCTAATTATTGAGAGGCATCTCAAGTGGACGCCTTTGGGATATAATTACACATATAGAACCTAGGGACCCTTTTATCTGAAAAGATAAAAGTTATTTTACTAACTTTTGACCATAAGTCAGTGGGTAGGCTGTGTGTCATATTTATAAATAAAGGAAACTTGATTGTAAGTCAGCGAGTAGGCTGTGTGTCAAACAATAGAATCAACCATAAGTCAGCGAGTAGGCTGTGTGTTGAGCTATAATAACCTATTAATTGGGAAACTCGGATTGCACGCTCGCACTATTATGAGACAAATGAATTAAACAACAAAAGAAAATTATTTTTATTTTAATTCAACTAATAAAGAAAAATACATAAATAATTTATAAAAGTATAAGTTAAAGAATTGTCAGAGCACTTGCATGGAAAGAAAATACTAGTTCAAAGCCATTATGAGTATTATCAAGGATTCAACCCAGTCTTTTTATCAAATAATTGTTTGAAATCCTTTGATTTCTTTTGAATATTTTTTATCACCAATGAATTTGTTTGTTTTAAATTGGTTTTTTCTTGGTTCTATTTTATTGATTATTTTTTGTTTTCATCAGGAAATTAATTTAGCGTAAACTTGCATAAATCTTACGATGCCGATGTAATATTGTGTAAATCTTACAGTGC